GAAACCACCCCCACCCCACTAGTTTAAATCCTCCCAAGCAGCTCTAGCAAATCTCCTTGCCAGTATTATTAGCCCCCTCCCAATTCAGGTACAATCCATCCTTCTTATTCAGGTCACTTCTACTCCAATTTTCACTTCAAAATTGTGAATCCTTCTCCCCTGTATCAGCTCCTCTGCCACACATTCATCTCCTCTATCCTCTTATTCCTACCCTCACTAGCTCGTGGCATCGGGAGTAATCCAGGCATTACTATCCTTGAGGACTTCCTTTTTAAATTACTGCCTAGTTTTCTACATTCTCTCCTCAAAATCTCATCCTTTTCACTTCTTATATCATTAGTTCCAATGTGTGCTATGACCTCCTGCTGGTCTTTCTCCACTATGAGAATATTCTACACTCAGTTATCCTTGATCCTGGCTCCAGGGAGGCAACACATCATTCTGATTTCTCGCTGTGAGCTGCAGAACCTGTATGTCTGTGCCTCTGACTAAAGAGTCCCCTACCACAAATCGATCGCTCGGAATCTGGCATACACCTCATTACGTTAGAGCCAGTCTCACTTACAGAAGTCTGGCTGTCCTAAAACATTCCTCTAAGATTTCATGGCCCCCTAAAATTTCCCAAAACAGCATACCACACTTGTTTGAGATGGGGAGAGCCACAGGAAACTCCTGCATGACCTGCCTCCCTCTCCTGGAGGTCATCCATCTACTTGACTGTATCTTCGGTTTTTCTCCCTTCCTACACCTGCCATCTATCACATCTCCTTGCTCCTGCAAATTCCTCATTGCCTCTAATGGCTGCTCCAAACAATCCATGCAATCAGACAGGATTGCAACCGAACACACTTCCTGCAGACGTAATCATCAGTAACATGGAAACTCTCCCTAATGTCCCACAACCAACCGGAAGAGCACATCACTCTACTAAAGGCCATCTTTGCACCCTAATCTACAGAACTAGAAAACAGCACAATCTTACTGCTGTTAAAAACACTGCTCCAGGCTAACTTAGTAGCTAAGTTTTAGATTTTAAGTTTAAACAAGACTTCAAAAAAATTAGAAGAGTTAAGAGAGTGTGCATAGGAAAGCATTCGTGTGTAGAATAAAGAAGACAACGCAAAAAGATAAAGTTAAGGGAACTCTACCTGAATGGACATAGCATTTGCAACAATGTAGATTCATGGGCACAAATAGAGATCCATAGGTATGATATAATTGGCATTACAGAAACATGGTGACATGGTGACCAGGACTAAGAAGTGAATATTCAAGAATATTTGATGTTTAAGAATAGATAAGGAGGGATAGGTGGAGCTGTGCTGATAATAAGGGATGGCATCAGTACATTAGAAAGGGAGGATCTCAGATTGGAAGAACAATGTGAAGAATCTGTTTGCATAGAGATAAGAAACAGCAAGGGGCAGCAGACATTGGATAGAGTAATTTATAGGACACGAATAGTAGTGGGGGTGGGGGGTAGTGTTATTCAGGAGATGAGAGAATCACTTAGCATGGGCAACACAATTATCAAGGGTGACTTCCATCCAAAAATCATACATCACAAAACATTTTGGAAGCGGGCCTTTTGTCCCATCAAGTCCACAACAAATTTCCGAAGAGTACTCCACCCAGACCCATAACCCTACGCTATCCTATCCCTGTAACCCTACATTTCACATGGCTATTCCACTTGACCTACGCATCCCTGGACACAATGGGCAATTTAGCATGGCCAATCCACTCACCCATCAGGCCTCACTAACAGTGCAACCGGTACTGCCAATTCTGCAAACTGGACTGGTTTGCTGATTCCTTTGCTTTCCAGCCTTCTGATTTCTGCCTCTACTTTTGCCTAAAAGGCAAATAGCACCAAGTGAGCCTTGCAGAATCATGGAATTACTTCCTGGTCAATATGCAAGGTAGCCTTGCGTCTTTTGATAGTCCTTAGACCTTCCTGGTGTTTAATTAGAATTTCACTCAGGCAGCCGTTTTCTATGTTGAGCCACTCTAGTTGAATGTTTCTCAACCAATTTCACCCCATCAAGCTTGGGGCCGTGCCTTTTACTACAATCAGTAGTAACTGAACCAGCTGCTTCTCTTAAGAGACTGAAACAAAGTCAATCCCTTAATCTGTAAACATTCACCATTTAAGTTGTCAGTCGAGCTGAGATCTTATACAACCTTATGGATTGGAGTCCAGACCGAAATTTCTTAAAGACTGGTTCTGCAATCACAGAAATGGCTATGCTGATATCAACCTCCATTAGAACTGGGTGACTATTTAATCAGACGTTTATTTTGACTGGTTCTGATTTGAATGTTGCTAAGCAATTTAACTGTTCTAAACCAGGTGTTGGTGGACTTTCCAGGATGTGCACTCTCATGGATACCATCCTATGAGTTTTTGTACTCAGCTTAGTCTAGTGGGACTCCTCTGCTGTCTCAAGTCCACATACTGGCAGCAACTATAATGGCTTGCTGGCCTAGAGCCGGAAGAAACTTTTAACTATTTGGCTGAGGCTTGGCTTTGTTTTGGACTGATCTAGCGTCCTTCAATTCAGGATATGTCCTGAGTGAGGCTATGCATTTTCCTTCACTCAAATGGTGTTCCTCAAGCTCCATCAGACTGATGGTGTCTACTTCCATTGGAATGCCCTGCAACTCATATGCCCCACTTGCTGCATTTTCCACTGATAAAGCCAGTTGTGCCTGTTTGATGTCCAATTGGGCTTCAGCTACTAGGTGCTTTTGCAGGGTTACATCATTCATTCCACTTACCAAACAAAATCTCTCACCATCTCATAAGGGTTAAATCAAAGTCTCATACTCTGCCAGTCATTTTAACCTAGTCAAAAATCCTGATATGGGTTCCCCTGGTTCTTGAATTGCTGAGTGAAACTGATAGCATCTCAGAAGTAGAGGAGGCTTGGTGTCATAATATTCCTTAACTAAATCCATCAATTCTTGAAAGGTTTGGTATCTCAGGGAAAGTCAGGCTCCTAATAGTCAAAGCAGATGTGGGTCCACAAGCTGTCAGGATAATTACTTGCTTTTCATCTGCCCCAATATAATTTGCTCAGAAAAAAAAAATTCTTTCCATGTACTGGTCCCAGTTTTCAACAGCAGGGTCAAATGAATCAACTTTTCCAAATTAATTGCATGATAGTAAAACCTGGGAATTATAGATAAGTAACCTTAACATCTGTGGTAGGTAAGTTACTTTTGAAGATTCTGAGGGATAAGATATATATGCATTTGGAAAGACAGGGTTTGATTAGTAATACTCAGCATAGTTGTGTGTGTGGGAGATCATGCCTCACACATTTGTTAGAGTTCTTTGATGAAGTGACCAGGAAGGTTGATAAGGGCAGGGCGGTAGTATGTAGTCTATATGGATTTCAGTAAGGCTTTTGATAAGGTTCCACATGGTAAGGCTGCTCTGGAAGGTTAGATGACATGGAATCCAGGGAGAGCTGGCAAATTGGATACACAATTGGCTTAATGGTAGGAAGCAGAGAGTAATACTGGAAGGATGCTTGTTTGACTGGAGGCTTGTGACTAGTGGTGTGCCTCAGGGGTCGGTGCTGGGCCCATTACTATTTGTTATCTATGTCAATGATTTGTATGAGAATTTGTATGATTAGTAAGTTTGCACAGGACACTAAAATAGGTGGTATTATGGACAGTGGGGAAGGTTATCAGAAATTGCAGCATGATTTTGATAGGCTGGGGAAGTGGGCTGAGAAATGGCAAATGGAGTTTAATATAGATAAGTGTGAGGTGTTGCATTTTGGAAAATCAAATCAAGGTAGGAGTTTCATGGTGAATGGTAGAGCATTAAGGAGTATAGTGGAACAGAGGGACCCTGGAGTTCAGGTGCACAGTTCTCTGAAAGTGAAGTCGCAAGTTGATAGGACAGTAAAGAAGGCTTTTGACACACTGGCCTTCAGTCAGGGCATCGAGTATTGAAGTTGGGAAGTTATGTTGCAGTTCTACGGGATGTTGGTGAGGCTGCAATTGGAGTATTGTGTTCAGTTTTGGTCACCTTGCTATAGGAAGGATGTTATTAAACTGGAAAGAGTGCAGAAAAAAATTTACAAGGGATGTTGCCCGGACTCGAGGGACTGAGTTATAGGGAGAGGTTGGACAAGCTGGGACTTTTTTCTTAAAGGCATAGGAGACTGAGGAGGTATCTTATAGAAGTGTAGAAGATTATGAGAAGCATAAATAGGGTGAATGTACTCAGTCTTTTTCCCAGGTTTGGGGAATTGAGGACAAGAGGGCATCAGTTTAAGGTAAGAGGGGAAAGAATACATGGGAACCTGAGGGGCAACATTTTTACACAGAGGGTGGTACACATATGGAATGAGCTGCCAGTGAAAGTGGTTGAGGCAACTACATTAAAGACATTTAAAAGGCATTTGGACAAATACGTAGATAGGAAGAAAGGTTTGGAAGGATATGGACCAAGTTCAGGGAAATTGGCTTAGCATGGATGGACATTTTGGTCAGCATAAACCAGTTTGGGCCAAAGGGCCTGTCTCTGTGCTGTAAGGCTCTATGACTACAAATGCTACCCCAACTCAAAGACAACTGTTGCAAGCTAATTTCTTCAGGACTATGCTTTTTCTCTCATCATAGCTGAAATAACTCCAGAGGCATTTATCTTTTCTGGAAAATCACTGACATTAATCCAGTTCTCTGAGTGAGGAGGATGTCAGACACTGTTCCTTTTTCCTCCTTCCACATAGAAACACTAGCTATGGCCAGCCAGCTCAGAGTCACTTCTCAAACTGAGGAGATTCTAATTATTTTTTCACCCATATTGTGGGGGTGGGGGAAGTCAGTAAAGACACAGTGAAACATAATTTTATTACACATTTCCACCACCAGGAAAACACCAAGGCAGTCAGTAAACCAAGTAAACAAGCAAAGCTCAGAACAAGCAGTGTTCATCCGAAAACAAAAGTGGGGCAGGAGTACACTCCTGTTCTTACCTGTTAGCCAGGGCACTCTGATTGAACTGGATTTGCAGTTCCAATTATTTTCTACAAGGTCCACCTGGCTGACCTCATTATACTCACTACATCTACAAACCACAATGGGGTCCACATCATGCAGTACATTGCCTAGTCTTCCCATCATTACTTCATTTACTTACTTCTTAATTTGATTTTTAAAAATTCCCTATTTGTCTTCTAGTTTGTAACCTGTAAATATTTCCCCCAATTACCTTCAATCTAAAAATAACCTATAATGGAAAGTCAAATTATTAGCTATTACCAACCAATGAACTTGCCCTGTGATGTCACTCTTTCAGCTGGGCTCCCAATCCTGGGCTTCAATTTATCCTCCATATTCCCCAAAACTATAAACTCACTCAGGCTCTGTCTTGCTCCAGATGTGAGCTCTCCTTCTTAACTACTTAATGATCCTGTGCTTTCAACAGGCCCACTCTTTTTTCCTTTTTGGAGAATCCCTGAGACTCCTGTTTATTTTTTTCTTTCTCCCACACTACCACTGCACAGCAGTAGTGCTTATATTTTCCCCACATCACCCGTCATTGCATATGTCGTGACTCAGTAAAGACACCATTGTGCAAGGACTTTAAAGGCCCTCTTTTAAATTGAGCTGAGGTGAGCTGTAATGACTTATACTTGTTAAGCTTCAAAAGTAATTAACACCTATTAAAGCCCTATTCAAGCTTCAGGTGACTGACTGAATCAGCAACCTTATTAAACTTTTCAACCTATGGTTGTAGGTAGGCAGTCTGGATAAGTGGAAAAAGGATGGAGGCAAGGCAGGATGAAATGAGTTTGGTGGGACAGGAATAGGTTAATGTGATGGGTCTATGGGGGTGGTCTGGTTTATGGATTTTGGGAAGGAGGTAGAAGTGGGCTGTCTGGGGTTGGGAGAATATTAGGTTGGAGGTAGTGGGGGAAGATCTCTGGAAGGAATAAGGTCAGTGATAGTCCAAGCAACAATGGCCTGATGTTTGGATGAGGGGTCATAGTTCAGGGGGAGGTAGGAAGTTGGGTTTAAGCCTCTGCAAGGTGCCACACAATAATGGCACCACACTTGTTGGCAAGTTTGATGACAAAGTTAGGGTTGCCCTGAGAGAGCGAAGTGTGGCAATTTCAGAGGGGGACAGGTTAGAGTGGGTGAGGGGAGCAGTGAAATTGGGATAGCCAATATCACACTAACAGTTTTCAATGATAACGTTGTGGGCAGGTAAGGGGTCAGAAGAGGTCCAAGCAGAGGGTGAATACAGGGATAGTAGGAACTGCAGATGCTAGAGAATCCAAGACAACAAGGTGCAGAGCTGGATGAACACAGCAGGCCAAGCAGCATCATAGGAGCAGAAAGGCTGACGTTTTGGGCCTAGACCCTTCATCAGAAATGGGGGAGGGGAAGGGGGTTCTGAAATAAATAGGGAGAGAGTGGGAGGTGGATAGAAGATGGATAGGTGGAGAGGAAACAAACAGGTCGAAGAGGCGGGAATGGAGCCAGTAAAAGTGAGTGGACGTGTGGACGTGTGGACGTGTGGACGTGTGGACGTGTGGACG